CATTGTTTAGAGGTGAGACTCATCACAACTGTGAAATCAGTAAGAATATTGTTTACAGGCAAGACTCATCACAACTGTGAAATAAGTAAGAATATTGTTTGCAGGCAAGACTCATCAGAACTGTGAAATCAATAAGAACACTGTTTACAAGTGAGACTCATCAAACTATGAAATCAATAAGAACACTGTTTACAAGTGAGACTCATCAGAACTGTGAAATCAGTAAGAACACTGTTTACAAGTGAGACTCATCAAAACTATGAAATCAGTAAGAACACTGTTTACAAGTGACTCATCAAAACTATGAAATCAGTAAGAACACTGTTTACAAGTGAGACTCATCAAAACTATGAAATCAGTAAGAACACCGTTTACAAGTGAAACTCATCAAAACTATGAAATCATTGTTTACATTGTTTATTTACTTTGAACATTTTTTCATTTTCTTTGTAAATTAAATGACACAAGTGTTACAAAATGACAAAATATCAGCTCTAAAATATTTTTTGTTGAAATAAAGTTTGAAACATCATTGTGGTTTAAAGTTTGATATTCAGGTGTGTGCCCAACAATTGAAAGGTGCTCCACAGTCCAAAAACAGTTAATATGAATGACATATTGTCAAAGGCTTAAAATAGACTTAACCATAAAATCCCTAACAATGTCATAAATCATAAACTTAATGATAAGCATAATGCATTAAGAATACTAAATCTTCGTATCAGTGAAACCTACTTTATCCACGTGAACAAAGTCCCCATTCAGGGTACTGGAACTCTGGTCATCACCAAAATCTATGCCATCTGAACCAAAGTCAATCTGTAAAAAATAAAAACAATGATATACAAAAAATCTGAATTAAGAATACTGATGAAAGACATATTTTTTTACAATTATTTTATATGACATCGTTAAGTGTCCTTTATAGAATCCATGGTTTTGGTTTTAGTCTTGAGGTCAATCCATTTTAAAGAATAACAGTTCATAAGTCTTATTTCACCTGTCTATGTGGTATTCCTGGTTTAGAGGAATATTGACACATAGGTAAATTACCCACCACATAACAAGGGGTTCAAATATTTGGTTTGATGGAATGTTAATGTGAAAATAAGCACAGAAGAAACAAACAAGTTTGATGAACACAACTAAGTACTCTGTGTTTTCCTGTTGCATAATTACCTCACATGTCTACTGAATAAAAAAAAGACAGATTTAAGGTAAAATACAACCAAAATAAACTTGAAATTAAATGATGACAATGCACTGTTGGCATATATATAATAACATACATGAAAATAGAGCACTTCAGAGTATATCTTGGCCCTTTCAAAGCAGAAGTTAAACTTTCTGAAAGCAATAAAACAAACTGCTTTTACAAACCCCATTCTCTATGTATCTGACCAATCACAAGTTAGATCCCAAGATTTTGGAAGGATCTCTGCACCATATGACAGTCCTAAAGCATTCCTCTACACAACAAGGTTAAAGTCAGATACAACTATCCCACAATGCAATAGCTAACTTCCCTGATTGGACCACATCTCACGACACAATAGATAACTTCCCTCATTGGACCACATCTCACGACACAATAGATAACTTCCCTCATTGGACCACATCTCACGACACATTAGATAACTTCCCTGATTAGACCACATCCTGGGTTGAACTTAGCACATCACATCTACTCTTAGCAATAGACCACTAACTTGAGGTACTTAAAAAAAGATACAAAGTATAGGCTAGTTTTTAACATGATTGATAAGTTTTAAACTTCAGTGGTAAAATACATCACTGCTTAAATTAATGTTATGACAATTGAAGATGAGTATCAGCTACTCTATTTATTGAAAATCACCACCCACCTGATCATCGGGTACACAAGAAGACTGACCATTGTCCATGTCAAGGGGAACTTTTGGTTGCGACCCTTCCACTACTTCTGGGACTGTTCCTGTCCTCCATTCATAAGTTGTAGTATTTCCTTTCTCAATTAAATGACCGATCAGTGGCACACAAATTTGCTTTATATCATCCCTATATATATATATAAACTTACATAAAGGCCAACAATTTATTACATTGTTACTCATTAAACAAATAAAAAATAATGCAATTTTAGACAATGTATTTGAATTCTTGCGTTACAAGTACTAAGCATGATACAAAGTATTAAAACCCTGGAAATTTTTTTTATTCTGGATTCATCTAACAAAACTATATAACCCTGCTAAACATACATAAACAATAAATTACCAAGATGACATAAAAACATAATATATATGGCAAGAGCATATAGTAACATGTACAAAACTTACCTTTTCAGTGTAAAGTTTAGAAACTCAACGTAGTATTCTCTGGCAGAATTCAAGTCCATCATTCTTTCAGTTACTCTAGAGAAAATGTCGGGCAAGTCATTCAGGAGTGACACTAATTCTTTTCGAATATTCACTCCCTGTAATACATAACAATTCCAATATTTGGGTTAAAAGTTGAATGTCTCAAAAATGTTATGTAAATTAAAATAAATAAAATTTTCTTCAGCCAGTTTTTAACGGAGCTTTAACAAAAAAATACTGCATACCTCTATTCCGAGTTGTTTGCACGTTTCATAGAATTTTTCCTTCAGTTGTATAGCATTCTTTGCATATTCCTCTTCTTTGCGATTACATTCCTGAAAAAAATGCAACAACAGATGTAAAAGCATCTCTTGAGTATCCATTCATCTCCTGAACCAAAAAGTCGTGTGTTTGTCTGATGAACCGGAACTGGAATGTCATGCGTTTGTCTCACGAACCTGTTTGTTAATTTTTCTAATTTTTTTATAAATACTTTAATCAACAAATATTCAATATAATGAAACTGCATAACACTCAACACTACAGATTTACTTACAACTCTGGTATTTTTTGGCTCAGTAACTGACAAAAAGTCACAATTGTTACTATCAGGATCAAACACAAGCCAAGATAATCTTACTGAAAAGAACTGATGATGCTGTAAATGCTTAACTGAACTAGAAATTTTGAAGAAAAGACACAAGTGTCATGAAAAACATTCAAAACTATTACTTGCATATATTCAGTTAAACAGATGGCACATGACTTGTATAAACAAGAAGTCTTTTTATCACAAAGTATTACACTCAGAAATAAAACAACCAGTCATTATAAACCTTTTTTGTCATGTTAAACAAATTTGCACCTATACAAGTATTCTCCTATATAAGATATTTATCCTAAGCTACAAATTTGGTTAACTGCACAAAAATGATACGTAGTGAAAACATTATAGGAACAAAAGAGTGATAAAATAGCTTAATTTATTATCTTTTAGCTTATCAGGACAGATTATCGTTAACTTCTGATCAAAACAAGCTATCTACATTGATCAGAAAAAGAAAATAAACTAACAAGTATGGCTAATTCAGGATACTCTCCTTATTTATAAGGATTAGAATGCACTGATCCATCAGTAGAATATCCTTACTTTTTATTAGTATTTTTTCATTACTGATTTTTGTATTTCTTTCAACACTCTTGTAAAGCTTTCCAAAAAAGTTTTTACTTTATAAAACTGTTAATTTTGTGTTTGTTCTGATCCAAGATGCAGTGCTACTGTTTTTATGACCATAAAATAAAAAAAACTTTTTTACCAAAAATCATAAACAATGTGACATTTATTTATTTGTTAGTCAAAATGTTTTGTTTAATACATGTTTGATAAGTTTAAATATGCTTTATATCCACATATATATATATCAGAAACCTACAAAACTTTTTATAAAACAGATTACGTCAAAAGGAAGGATAGTGTGAACTTTACACAGCAGATCCAAACCTTAGATGAAATATAATTAAATGCAGTTTTACAGAGAGAGAAAAAAAACACAGCCACAAAATAAACATCCAAAACCAGGGCACAAATCTTAAGGTGGGTCATTATGAAATGTGCCCTGATTTTTTTGAGGTACCAAATTGTACTGGAGGTACATTATCTATCCAGTTAAACCTCAACTTTGCCAGAATTACATGCTTAAAAGAAGAAGAAAAAAAAATAACAGATGTGGGTACTCTAGCCCACAATGTCCCACATCTTTACCACCTTTCACTGTCTGCAGCCAGATGTGGGTGCTCTAACCCACAATGTCCCACATCTTTACCATCTTTTGCTGTCTGCAGCCAGATATGGGTGCTCTAGCCCACAACGTCCCACATCTTTACAACCTTTCACTGTCTGCATCCAGATGTGGGTGGTCTAGCCCACAATGTCCCACATCTTTACCATCTTTTGCTGTCTGCAGCCAGATGTGGGTGCTCTAGCCCACAACGTCCCACATCTTTACAACCTTTCACTGTCTGCATCCAGATGTGGGTGGTCTAACCTATAACGTCCCACATCTTTACCACCTTTCACTGTCTGCAGCCAGATGTGGGTGCTCTAGCCCACAACATCCCACATCTTTACAACCTTTCACTGTCTGCATCCAGATGTGGGTGGTCTAGCCCACAATGTCCCACATCTTTACTACCTTTCACTGTCTGCAGCCAGATGTGGGTGCTCTCACCCACAATGTCCCACATCTTTACCATCTTTTGCTGTCTGCCGCCCGATATGGGTGCTCTCACCCACAAT